GAGGGAGAGAGAAATGCATTCCTACCATGTCCAAACGTCATAGTCGATAGGCCCTGTATACAAATGTGTGTTTGTATGTATTTTAGCAGTGTGTGTTCACAATCATGCAACACAATTTTATCACAATAACTGCTCTGAGAAAGGAGAAGAGGGAGTGTACTCAGATTGACTTGTCCTTGTAAACATTGTAAAAGCACTCATCTTCAGTTTCAAGCTGCATTCAAAGTCAAACACTGGTGGTGCATATGTTATTTATAATATAAGTAAATAGGCTTTTCGTCATGCACATGCTGGCTACATCTGAAATCAGGTCATGATACATTTTTTGTTGCTATTTTTGAAAACTTTGTGTTTTTGCATTGCCTTCAGCAGCTAATGTAAGCCGCCTACATCCTCTGGATAGGTCACACGTCACAATGATTTAATTCAGCTGATAATCACTCTGAGCCTTACATAATTAAAACATTAAGTTAGTATTATTTCCCTTTATTCTCTACATTTATATATGTTTCTATGGATGTTTGCATGTGCTCATTTATGTACATATCATAATTGGTGTTAGGACCCAAGCTTAGAGAGGGATAACTGCCCGCCGAGGGTGATTGTACAATTTTTTTTATATATACATACACTTTACTGTATATGACATACAATATGTACATACCAGTGGGGGCGGGTCCCAGCTCAAAAGTGGCCAAAATGACGTGCGCTGACATGCTTGCAATACCACCCCGGGCCGATGGGGGTGGACCCGGAAGAAGAATTAGCCAATGCTAACATATAGCATTGGCAGACCTCTCGAAAACGTCTTTACAGGATGGACCAAAAGTTGGCTCTTAGCCCAAAGCTCCGTTCCACATGTGTGTCAATGCTGCAACGTTCAAATGAATGGAGCTGCGCCGGCTGACGCATGCGCAGATGCGTTTTTTCACAATTCTCTTGTGGGCGGGACCACTCTCGGCCATTTTGGATTGCTCCAGTAGAGCATTTTTTTTGGCCCATTAGTTAGAACGGCGGAGATAGGCGTGACTTCGTTCATTGTGTCTTCTTTCCAAAGCATTTTTATTCATTTTTTAGATCTATTAATTACTTTATATCTGCAGCTGTGCACATTTTGAGTTTTTTAATTTGAAATTGTGACAAAAACGGTTCATAATGTTCATAATATTCACTAAAAGACCAATTAGATCACATTAATCATATCACACTGCTTATGTTTTGCACAAAAAGTATATGAAATAGTGCCTAGATGTGTATTGGATCGCAGTCTTACATCCTGGCGTGTGCTTAAAAGCGCTATATGAATAAAGATGACTTGCTTACTTAAGTACTACGACCTTAGACTTTGGACTGCTTTGTTGAACCACTTTGTTCAGCGCTGAGACACATGTGTTGTTCCCATGGTGCCGTTGGTGATAAGTCTGTAGCAGTGAGAGTGCCAAAGGTGCAGAGGCCTGATCAGACTGAGCAGGTGTCTGACCTCCTGCAGCAGGGTCAGAGGCTAACCCAAGTATTTCTGCAGAGAATTTACTGCTCAAGATGCACGCAGGCTGACAACTCCCTTAACTCTATTAATACTCCGCGGCACAGCTTGACGCCTTGTTGTCGCACCTCTCAGGATTTTACAGCCCACTCAAACATTAGTCTAAGCCAAAATCGATACATGCATTACAGAAAGATCTTTGCATCGGTATCTGTCATTCCTGGACAACCTCTTAAAGCTTTGTGATAACTGGCCAAACCTTAAAGTACATATCTGTAGACAACACCAGGACATAGCTGTGATGTAGACAGACGTAAACAAGACTGAACAATAGGGCTGGTGATAAATTGTTCTATGGCCCAAAATCAACAGCAGTTGTCTCAAAAGGACTCTACTGTAGATTTAAATGAAATAATTGAAACACAAAGAAAACCATTCATAAAACACACAAGAGTCCATCAAGGCCAATAAATGTCCTCAAGATGTTTTGAATCATTAACTTGCATAAATTATCTATATGTCATGGCATTGTTATTTTAAAGCGCAGGAAATCTAATGTATTTATTTCTTTAAGCAATGATCCACAATAGTTAGTATTAGTTTTGCAATAAATATAATGTTTGACCCATCTTCTTTTTGGTTAAATCCAAACATAAATGAACAAATTTTGTTCTAACTATCCAAATTATTCACTTTTTCTTTTGTTTTTTTTAAATAAAAAAATTACAATATACCAAAATATACCAAAAGATGAGCTGTAATTGAACTTTCCACAAATTCAACAATGGAGGCCTTGGCATAAAAGTAAAGCCTGAATAGTATGAACAAGGAAACCTATATTGATAGGACGTATATTTCACTGCTTGCAACAAATATGTGTGTATCTACATTGTAGAGCTGGGCGATATGGCAAAAAAGTAAAATCTCGATTTTATTTCCTGCTTTGGACGATGTCGATTTTAAATCGATTTTCATTAAAGTCACTCAAGACAGACTTTGCCCTTAAAATATTTTGTATCTTCCCGCTCAATATTTAAGTTTAAAAACTATTTTTTTATTTGTTTCCCCCAATACATATTATAAAAGTCTTGTACAGACTGTGCTGATATCGCAAGTATAATTGATGTGCTGCTGGAACTCTCACAATATCCCTCATTCGATTTCACGATTTTCACATTTTTCACGAATTCGATTTTTCAAAAGCCGATTAATTGCCAAAATTCGATTTATTGCCCAGCCCTACTACATTGTTAATATTTGAATCAATCAGGCTGCATGACACACTGTACATACAATTAGATGTGATTTTTGACCTGCGTCTGTCAGCTGTGAAAAATGCAGCTCTCATAACACATTGCTTTACTGATTTACGAGCGGTCTTGTCAGGCTAAGCTGCCCTTATCGCCCTGTAGGGGTTAGTGTAACCAGTATAAATCACGGATAGAGAGGCACTGCTCTTTGAGGCTGTACCTCCAGAGCTGCTTCAAAAGCACGTGGGAAATGTGACTTGGACAGTGTGAATGTGTGTATCAGCTCCGCCGCACTGGGACCAGTGCAGTCTGCAGTGTGTTGTAGGTTTGTGGCAGGTTTGTTCTTTTTGTACGTGCATCTATAGAAAATTTAACCCCAAAAAAATAACCGTCATTAAGTTTCATAAATGACACCCCTGAGCAGTTTTAATGTGTCGATCTCTAGAACAAGTGGTAAAAATAAAGCTTATATTTTAATACATCATTATTTGAATCATCACATTAGTGTTGAAACTGTCACAACAATGACATTTTCATCTTCACCTTTTCTTTCACTTAAAACCAGGGAGAGGTGTCCAAACTTTAGTTACACTTGTTCAGAGGCCGATAATGCAGAAAGTGAAACTATTGTGACTGGATGCAGGATATTCTGCCCTTTTATTGATCCATGTTTGACAAAGCTGAAGTTGCCTCGATGACAAATGTTTACCGTCTCACATTATGCGCGATATACAACATTATGTGACACAATCAATACCATTTATAAGTATATATAAATAAAGGCGGCTAATAGCATGCATACTGTATATTGGTGGAGCTGATGTTGGCTGGATGACACTGTGAACTTTAATTTAGAGACTCTAACTTTAGTGTTAGAGACAGAGAGACACAGAACACAACAGAGAGGGCGTAGTTTGGACATACCTGAGCTAGAGCAATATTCTGTACCTTAGGGCTCACCTCCTCTTTACACCTGTCGTCTTCAGCTCATCTCGGGACGTAAACGCAGACGTGCAGGTTCTGTCCAGGTTATGTTTTCATTGTGATGATTCTGATCATTTACACCGTCTTGGAAATACATGCTTATAATGTATTTTATAATACACACTCCTAGGAATAAGATTCATTTTTCAGAGGTCAACATGGCGTATCCTGGCTGATCTCTGAGGGGAAGGAGAGAAAAGTTAGCATAGAACGAGCGCCTCTGGTGTAAATTAATGCTTTGGTGCGCGTCACTTGATGTAAATTGGGGTCAGTCACAACATAATCTTTCCAAGAACAGATGTTTTCATTTTCTTTCTAATGGGATTTTAGCTGTGGAGAAGGAAAGCCCAAAGTCCGACATTTGCAGCCCTCAATATCATTTTAAGTGGCTCTCAGTTTTACTAACCCAAAGTACCATTGAGATAAGTTCACGGTTTCATCCAGCCAACTTCAGCTCTACCAATATATACATGCTGTAGCTGTTGTAGAGCTTTTGAAAGTTCTGACTTTGTTTGACTATTCCAGGGGTGTCCAAATTGTTTAGTAAGGGATAAGATAAGATAGACTTTATTTATCTCACGATGGAGAAATAAACACGTCATATTTGCAATAAATATTGTCACTTGGGTTTTGAAAAAGATAGGAAATGTGCAAACGTCTTAAATAGTGAAAGGGCCACTTTAGTTCACCAGACTTGTCCTGAGGGCGATTGTAAAACTGTTTTGACTGGATATGGGCTGCCCTGAGCTTTATATTTAGCTATGACAGAGCTGAAGTTGGCTGATTGACAAATGACCTTCTTACCAGCTGCATTAGCACCAACTACAGAATTTAATGACACAATAAAAAAAAAATGTCAGGGCAAATTTCAGAGGGACTGCAATTTGCAATAATCTCAAAGACTACTTGGGTTAGCAAGGCAGAGGGCCACACAACCAACCATTTATCAGCCAACATCAGTCATTCAGCCAACTTCAGCTTGTGCCAGAAGTGAATCAATTTGGACCCGTCATGCCTCATTTAAAAACAGACCTGACAGACAACCTGAATTGTTGGCTGTTGGACAAGTCTGGAGAAATTAAGTGACCCTACTGCTGGAGAGGGTTGATTAACGTATCAATTCAATGACGCTACCGTGCTCCGACAACACCGCTTCTCTGTCCTTAGATCAAGCTTGTATTTTCATGGCGTTATTCCTCGACCGTATGAGTGTGCATGTCTATTCAGTGTCTATGCTCTGCCCTCTCTGCTCCCTCACTCCTGCGTCTCTGCCTCCTCCGCAGGGTTGTTAAAGAGGAGATCTCCGACGACAACGCCAAGCTGCCCTGCTTCAACGGGAGAGTGGTGTCCTGGGTAAGTGAGATGGATGTGTCCGCGCGCTGGCCGGCTGCCTTGGCTCTGCAGCTGTATTCTCCCTGCACTTATGTGGACCATGTACATGCGGCAGAGAAATGCTCCAGTCTCTCCACACGTTCATGTCACTGCCACTCGCTCTAAGTGAGTCCATTAGTGGTGAAAATACTGCACTTGGCTTTAAGAACTCCACTAACAGCCACCACCTAGCTCTTGTCACTACTCAATTGAGGGGTGAAAAAAAAGGATGTCAGTAATTGGATGGTAAAGAATAAGTAAGATATTTGTTTTAGACATTTTATGTGTTGATGTGGTCTGCATATGTACAGGTGAAGAATAGAAATGAAAGACTATGGTAAAGAATAGTTGCCAGAACAAAGTACAGTAGGGCTGCAGCTATCGATTATTTTAGTATTCAGGTTGATATTGTTATCTTTGGTAAGTAATCAATTCATTTTTTTCCCACAAAACATCCTTAAATGTCACAGACTATATAGTTGGAGTGGACTGACTGAGTGCTGATGTCATCCATAGTGTTTGCCGAATGCAGAAGAAGACGATTAGAGCATAAGCACTATGCTTATACTCTTATACAGCTCATATCACATGATTCATAAATAATAAACATTAAAAAGAGGGCATTAAAAACAACCATTAAAATCACACAGAATATTAAAAACAAAAATCAATTATTAATGAGTTGATTCATTCTTACAGCCCTGGTTACTTAGAAAACCAAACACCATAGATATTTTCAGAACAAAGTTATAAACTCACTGGCGTGTTTCTATTCCCGCGAATCTGATATTGTTTTAAGAATTTAGTATTATTTTCAGCCGTATAATTACGTATTGATTGCAATTGGTGGTGAAATGTATTTTAACAGGAAGAGAATGGCATTTTTTATTATTCAATCCAAAATTACATAGTTGTTTGTTTGCCAAGGAACAGTGACATCATCCTACTCCTCATAAACGGCCTTCAACAGTGTGTAATTAGATACGTTACATTTTCTGCACGCTTTATTCTATAATTTTCATTTCAATCTTGTTTCATTACACTTTATTTGCTTCAAACACCGAGATCGTTCAGCCGGTTTGACAAGCGGTAATAAAAGTGCCTTTAATCAGCAGAGTGCATGTAGCTTGGATTGTGTTCACGGTTTATTGATTTCTGTAGAAACTGAGACTGAGATTGAGACTGAGACTGAAAATACAGGAATGCAAAACCTTTTTTTAAATTAAAGGCCAAGATGATTGACAAACAGATTACAGGAACCAGGCCAAAAACAACAGATGGAGACAAGAACAGGCTACATAAAACACAGACACAGGTCAAACACATACTGTAAGGGCGAGGCAGGCTAACAAACAGGGCAACAGGACAGGAAGTCAAACTGAAATGAAACCACAAGAGAAGTGATGTCAAAATAAAACGAATATTAACAAAATACGTGCTGTTGTGCATTTGTGCATAAGTCACACATTCAAAACCACTCACACAATAACAGAACGAAGACCATTCTATCACTCGATCAAATCAGTATATGTCTCCAAACAACAGCATGATTCAACTGTTAATCTGCTGATTTTGTGGCTAGAAATATCAGAATAGTATTGCATTTTAGAGCAACCCAATGTTTAACAAGACATCTCCATGACAATGTTTTCCAGGGGCATTTATTTTGTTCAAATGTATTTAAAAAATCCCATATTCACTGACATTTTGGGATCTAAACCAATGATTGATTAGTTGCAAGAATCAGCCAACTAGTTCATCATCAAGGTAGTTTATTACTTGTTTATTACAGACTCACAAACTGAACTCACAATTATTATTTTTACAGAAGCCACTGAAATATGTTGTGATTAATCAAATTATATTGATTAAATAAGTGAATTCAAAGTTGTTCTGGCTTGAAAAACAATTCAGCCTCTTGTTTTGGCAGTATTTACAAAAAAAAAATCTTCTCATTGAAATATATGAAATCTCTCGACTAATACAAAATGATGAATCGACTAAACGAGCAAAAGAGAGTGAACCCTAGAGCATATATTATTTAGCAAAAAGTCAAGAGCCACACAGTGTAAGCCAAGCAAGATCTTGAGCTGCTGCATCTCAAAAAACAAAAAACCCCACATCATTGCAACTTCACAGCATCAAAACGAGTAGAAAATTCAGTTTGATGTTTTGTGAAGGTAGCGGCGTAGAACACACTCCACTTTAAGATGGCTTTGTCGAGTGTCCGAGCTCCCATTAGAACGACTACATACATTCTCACACTTTCTCTTTCATTATGTGGACGGTGGGCGCAGATGAAAGCGTGTGTGTATCTTGAGCCTTTGTGCTGTCTTTGTAGTGACACTCAGAGAAAAGAGGAGCCCTTCGCTGGCTTTGGGCGTTTGCCTTTTTTCTGTTGCATGTGATTTCCTTCTCCTTTTGATGACTGACTAATGCTCCAACACTCACCAGCATTGGGTTTTTATACACGCTGTTATAATGCCTTACTATCTTTCATACTATCGCTCTGGTCTGTCTTTATCGCTGGACATTGTGACGGGTTATATGTAAACATTACTGAAAAACATTATTTAATTTGAATAAAAACGACTCATTTCAAGTTATTTTTTTGGTATTGCACAGTTCATTCACGAGGCAACGCAAAGTGCTTAACAAAGCAATAAAAAACACTAAAACCACAAGATATTGACATCATAAATAATCAAAGTACATTAAAAGGGTGAAGATACAATCCTTCAGTTGTATGCATAGCTAAACAGAACTGTTTTTAACTTGGATTTAAACATTTTCAGAGTAGATGCCTGTCTCACATCTTCAAGAAGACTGTTCCAGATTTTAGCTACATAAATCTGAAACGCTGCCTCCCCATTTTTAGTCCTGACTCACATGGGAATGCCATAATACATACTAGGCAATATGACCAAACCAAGCTAGAAAATCTGGAGATACAGGCGAAACTTTGAAAATGATGTTTGTGGTTGTAAACATGAAGCCTAAGCGTAAAAAGACTAAAAGAGACACTAGCTCCTCCCCCACTGCACAGTAACACACCTGAGCTCATAATCACTGCTGCATTTAAACAGAGCCTCCCAGTTCTCTGCAGCTTCAAGCTGCTGTTCAAGCAGCAACCCCCCTCCTCCCCATCACCGCCTCTTCAGTGTACATGAATATCATGTCATGTCTTCAGCTCAGCCTTCTTTGCCACCACTATAATTTCTATTAATCAGAATCAGAATCAGAATCATTTTTATTGCCACGTAAGTAACAGGAGGTCACAGACTTGGAAATTGCTTTGGCTCGGTGCAACAGTCAGAAAGAGAGGGCATAATAAAAAATAAAGAATAAAAAAAACACTTCTAAGGAATAAGTTTAAAATTAAAAATTAAAATAGAGTTACAATTACCATATACAATATACAAGTGCACATGGTGCACACAATGTAAGGTGACAGCAGTACAGTGAAGTAAAGTGACTTTATAAAGGGCGGAGGGACAGGTTAAGAAGTGTTCAAGAGTCCAACAGCAGAGGGGAAGAAACTGTTCTTGTGGCGGGAGGTTCTAGTCCTGATGAACCGCAGCCTCCTGCCTGAGGGGAGTGGTTGGAATAGTCCACCCCCGCGTGCATAATCGCCAAGCTTAACGAACATTCATGTTCAAATGCAATGAATGTATTAGTAGTACCTAATCAATGCATCTGCTGGGTTTGTTTGTTTATTCATGCAATCTTGACAATAAACATTCAATGCAATTTTTGTCTTGATTCTTTCCAGATTAAAATAACAAAATGTGCATAAATTGAAGGAGTACTTTTGAGATGCGATATGAGACAGAACATGTATTATACATTAGACACTTCTGAAATGCTAGGAACCTGATTGAGGCCTTCACAGCCGTGTTGGCACAACACAGAAAACATTGTGTATGAGTGCAACAATGTCTTTTAAATAGTTAATGAATTGAACAATTTATTGAGGCAATTTCTTTTATCAAAGCCTTTTTGTAATCAACAAAACATAAAACAGTGTTGCATATTTACAGAAATAACGTCTCCTGTTCACTTTCAGATGTATTATATATGCACATGCCTATGTCATCAAAAATCCACCATCACTGCGTTTCTAAACATGTGCTTGTTTTTCATGCTTCTTCCATCTCTCTATATGGGGCCTATATGAACGCACAAATATTTACCTCCCTTTGTTTGCCTGCCTGCTAAACATATCCAAAGTGTAGTAATAAGTCTTTTCTCTGCTCCTCAGTTGGTGCTGGCAGAGAGCTCGCACTCAGACGGCGGTTCCCAGTGCACTGAGAGCCACCCGGACCTCCCCCCGCCGCTGGAGAGAACCGGGGGCATAGGCGACTCCCGGCCCCCCTCTTTTCAGTAAGTAGCCTGATTACAGCGTGTCGTATCTGCACCATTACACACGCCAGCTCGTAGGCAGATGGAATCAAGCGCACGTTTTGACCCCCTCTCCTCACAGCGTGCTTTGCTACGTGCTAATCATGGACTGAATTGTGCGGAGGTGGGGAAACCGAGCACGCCAACTCCGGGGTGCTATTGCCCAGCCGTGCGAAAGGGAAAAATCAGCTCATCTATGTAAAGAGCCATACGATGTGTGTTTGATAGTAGCACTGCTGCTTCTGGAAATAGCCTTTGCAGAAAATCCACCGTCGGGCAAATACTGTCGCTGAGAAAGCTCTTTGTGCTCAGGAACTAGAAGCACTCATCCATACCGCGGCCGTCCGTCCTTCTGTGCAGATGAAAGCAAATGTATGGCTATGCCTCAAATGCTAGCACCTCATACAGGAACATGTATGAAATGGCTGTGGAATGATGGGATTGTGACTATGGCTGTGTCAACAAACAGCCTTACACTTCTTTTAGTAGAGTTACACAAAGGAAGTATAGGATGGCGGCCACAACACGAGTTATGAAACGTATGTACTTTGCTGCAAGTTGCACAGATGGATATAGACAGTATATGAAAATTATGATAATGACACAATTTGTTTTCCTTTGGAGAGAAAAAAATGCTATATTGAGTTCTTTCAGAAAATAAAATTAAAGGAAACAAGCAGTAATGTAATATCCAAAACAAAGATATGTCTTCAGTGCATTCATAGTTTGTGCAATTGTTGAATTTCAGCCAAGACATTAACATACATATTTTAGCACATTTCCAATGCCTTGGTAATGTAATTATGAAATAGGCTTGTATGTACCATAGAGGCCAGAACTGTGGCCTCAATGTTGTTGGTTGATGCCCCATTTTATTTTTATTTCTTTGATAAGAGAACTTATATTTTCTCCCAGTGGGAGAGAACATTATAGGGATAAAAGAAGTACTCATCTTTCTATGACTAAAGACAACACATATATAGTACCAAGGCTGCAAGTTTAATTACAACCAGAGGCTACAATCATCTATAAAATTAGACACAGTCCTAATCAGAGAAGCCAACATTCTACCGTTTTGTACTAGATTTATCAATGGAACAAACATTGTTTAGAGAGAAATGTCTTATTTATATTTGAGCTAAAACAAGAGATTTTTTACGCTGCTTCCATTGAAAAATAATTAAAATTATTAATTATTAATTACTCATGAATAATAATAAGATAATACTTTTCACAAAGTATGTAGGACTGTAATCAACAATCATTTTGATAATCAATTAGTTGTTTGGATCCTAAAAAGTCAGTGAACATGGGACATTTTAAAGCATTTGACCAAATCTCTGCATAGAGACTCGTTACACATTGGGTTGTTTGTGTAAAAATGCTTTGTAAAAAAACAAGTCCTTCTGTCAGTGAGGCTCTCTGTTCTCTCTCTGATCCGTCTCTCTCTAGTCTCTCTCTCTCTCTGGTCTCTCTGGACCCTCTGTCTGGTCTCCCTCCGGTCTCTCTCTTCGGCCTCGCTCTCTGGTCTCTCTCTCCGGTCTCTCTCTCTGGTCCCTCTCTCTGGTCTCTCTCTGGTCCCTCTCTCTGGTCTCTATCTGGTCCCTCTCTCTGTTCTCTCTCTCAGATCTCTCCCTCTGGTCCCTCTCTGTTCTCTCTCTGGTCCCTCTCTCTGTTCTTTCTGGTCTCTCTCTGTTCTGTCTCTCTCTGGTCGTTGAGGCTAATCTCAATAAGACATTTCTAATTGAATGATCTATTCTTTATTCTGTTTAAATTGTATTCTGTTTTGTGTTCTTTTGTGGTATGAAAAGTCTAATTGTAATTGAATTTGGGGAGTGGGGGTGCTCATAAGCGTCCTGCTTCAACCCACTAATTTTGAACAGAATTAATACTGTTCAAATAAATAAATAAATCGATTAGTCGTGATTAATCTATTAACTTGTCACAGCCCTAATGCGAAGCTCGGTATATTGAAGGGATTGTGTGAGACTGGCACTGGAGAATATCACTGGCCCCTGTGAGGAGAAGGCCCGGGCTAAATATAGGAGCAGGGGGGGTGAGAGGGGGGTGAGGAGGGAGGGGGTCCGGCGGTGCTCTCCCACTGCACTATGAGCCTGGACTCTATATTCAGAACATGCGATCTGTCATGTCCGCGCGTACACGTCTTTATCCCGCTCTCCACGCCGCAGCTCGCTTCGCCCTCTATGGACCGCTCCTGCTGCTCTGCCTGTCAGCTCCCGTGATGCATTTATTGTTCCTGGGGGCTGTGCGCGCTCTCATTATCGCCCCCGTGTGGAGAAGAGCGATAATGTGGGTATCCTCGTGCAACAGCCACAGCGACGTCACCCCCTCTCCTCCTCTCCCATCCTCTCCCCTCCCCTCCCAACGTCTCCTTTTCTGTTTGTGCAGCAGGCTTTTCTCTCACAGAATAAAGTCAGTAAAGTCCCTGTAGCCACTGCGTTTCCTTTCTACAGCAGCTCGTAAACCTCTCAGTGTTTACAGCTGAAGGAAAATGATAATGATAAATCGGAATAATATGTTCAGGTTTATCATTATTTTTTGTTTAAATCTTTTTTGACAGTCTAAGGAGAAATACTAATAGAGCAATTAAGAAGCCAGTCGTATATACAGTACAAGAGCATGGCTTGCTTTTCTCATTCCAAGTGAAGAAGTACAATATCTTGTTTGTCCCATTGGCAAATATTGAATGAGTCCTCCAGGCGCCAGAGGGTAATATTTTATGTGAAACAGATCTAAAATATGATTAAGATGAAGAGATCCTTTCTTCGTCCCACAGTGGGGAAATGCCATCTCAGGTTAAACACAAACACAGACACTGTATAGAAAGTGGAAAGCAAAAAAAATGAAAAAACACAATAAGATGACTATAAAAGGAATATTAAATTAACTACTACAACTAAAAAGATAAAATAAAATCTTCATCTCTGTTTTCAGAATATATCTTCATCTCTGTTTTCAGAATATAAACATTAAACACAATTGACAGATGGGCAACAACAATCCATTTAAGATAAGGCAAGGCAATTCATACACAAGGCAACTCAAAGTGTCTTAACAAAACAAGCTGGAAATAATCACACAAAAATCATGAATATTAACTGCACGATAAAAAAGAGTGAAGAAACAATCCTTCAGTTCGTCTGCACAGCTAAACAGAACGGTTTTAACCTGGACTTGTAGAAGCCTGTCTCACTTTTTCAGGAAGACTGTGTTTTTGTTGGATAAATCTGAAATGCAGCCTCCCCATGTTTAGTTCTGACTCTGGGCACTAACAGGAGTCCAGTCCCTGTGCTCCTCAGAGTCCGGGCTGGTTCATATGGGACTAACATGTCACTAATATATTTACAAGCAGAGCTGTTTTAAAGTCTATTCTCTGAGCCACAGGAAGCCAGTGCAGAGACCTGAGGACTGGACTAATGTGATCCCACTTCCTGGTTCTAGTCAGGACTTGAGCGGCAGTGGTTTGAATATCTATAATTTAAGCATGATAAGTTGAGTGTGATCATTTTACACGGTTAAACTTTATGTTAATTTAATCATATTTATTTTTCACCTACAAAAACACACCAAATAAATAACTAACTACGGAAACAAAAACAAAAATAAAACAATTATGTTATTTCAAAGACAAGATGCATTCAAATGAGGAAGACAACTCATTTAACACTCACTTATTTACTTGTTTTTGGACATTTTTGCTTCAGTTACTTTTCTTAACCAGAGTTTTTCATAACGAGAAAAGAGAACTGGTTGAATTTATGCTAAACATCGCGATGAACCAAATTTCGATCCGATTAATCCTCACAGTCTGAAAGTAGCTCAAATAATATCAGCACTTTATTTTCCTTTGGGCTGCAGTCATGCGTGTGCTCTGTTTGCACTTTGCCGGCCTGAATGGCGGACTCTGATGCACACGGAGAATAGGTGTTTGGCTCTGAGAATGGACACAGCTCTTGTGCGTCTGCCTGGTAATCCGGATTAAGCAACATTAAAAGCGCACATCTACATTTCCCAGGAGGCAGTGGGGGATTTGAAAAGGGTGGCATTTGTCCACAGCTGCCCTCCTGCGCCTCGGATAATCTCCCTCTGGATCTGCGAGCATCAACGATCGGCCTTCCATTTCACTGTGTTCTACATGGCCAAAAGTGATAAGAGATCAAAGGGCCATAGCACTCTTTTTAAAAAAATTTTATTCAGTGGTTTTTTGAGAGCAATAGCTAATGCATTGTCAATATGGAGCTTTACTTGAGCTTTGTCTTAGTCAAATACAAATTAAATTCCATCCCTTTTGTAATCAAAACAGCTAATCAATAATCGGAAGAAAAAGTACACTGCTAATAAATGAAAAATGTCACTAACTACAGAATTACAACAACTCGTTTTGGATAGGACATAGTAATATTCAACTCTTTTGTCCCCCTGGTTCTCTTTGCATTTAAAATTGAAAACCACAAACACAGGTTTGAAAGATTAGGCTTTTTATTCTGTATCTCAATCAATCAATCAAGATGATTTATGTTAAAGCTTTTACAGGTTTGGTAAAAGGGTTGGAGCAAATGGTTATAAACCAATAATTCAATACAGACATTTATTTTGATAAAGATGTGAGTGTCCCTATTCCCATTTTGCATACGGTATATTTAAAATACATAGTTATTATTATACAAATGGTGTGTGTGTGTTTGCATGTGTGTGTGTGTGTGTGTGTATGTGTGTGTGTGTTTACATGTGTGTGTGTGTGTGTGTTTGCATGTGTGTGTGTGTTTGCATGTGTGTGTGTGTGTGTGTTTGCGTGTGTGTGTGTATGTGTGTGTGTGTGCTTGTGTGGAGGCTTGCGTCCCAGAGCTGTACACACTGTTCATCGCGCTGAGCCAACGTAAATGTCAATACTTCAATACGACTGATTTGTCTTTTATTGTCTGCACTGACCCGGCTCCCACAGCACACCTTTACTGCCCTTTCATTAGTCTGCTGGAAAGACCAATTCTCAGATAAGGATTTTGGGATTACTATTAATGCTGCAAATATTGCTTGAAAAGAAAAGGTTCTGAGGTTCATAGTAATTGTGTAGTATTGGGGAAAACAGATTAAAATGCTTCTAAAGGAGGTGTTTAAATGATAACCTCTCAAACAAGAAGGGAAAGCCACGTTTTTTTGTCCATTTTTCTCACAATTGCTTATCTATGTGTGGATTGGAACGAAATCTCATCAGAGTGCCCCAAACCTTTTTCATTTGAGCCCACAGCACTCCACACTGGTTTGTCTGCATAGAGGCTCTTCTTCTGTCTTCAAGGTCACATGCATCTGTATTAGGAAAAAAATGCACACACTTTTGTATTGTGTTCTCTGCTTGTTTATCATCAGGAAGTCACGATGCATTCTCTGTCGTTTTATTTAGTCTCAAAGATCACTACACTCTCTCTATGGCCTGAGATAAGAGACGAATGAAAAGTGTGCGTATATGTGTGAAGGGAAAGTTCCGTTGTGTCATTATGTTTTGCTCACCGTACTTTCCTCGTGGTACTATTCAAAATGTGCAGATCTCTGGAGGTGTTGCCGATGTCGCTCAGCTCTCCCTCCACACCGGTGTGTAGTAGTGCGGTGCTTCCTGCCCTGAATACATATGAGAGTGTTTATGGTGCCTGTCGCTGTGTAAAGTCATTGTGAACATAAAACATATATACATATAGACAAGCAGTTGAACTCTTTCTGTGGTTGATTTTAAAAGTTCTCTCTCTCATGATGTTTCAGGGCTCCCCACTTTTTCCACATAACATTTTTGAAAAACGCTGGAGCTTAAAGGGTTAAAAGCACAGCGTCTGCAGAGGTCTGATTATTGACAGAGGTGAGGGCTGCGTTCTTTCTCTTCAGTGACAGTTGGACAGGGGCGAGACCACAGGCTCAAACAGACTCCGAGTTTGACGAGAAGAATATGGGAGAAATATAGCCGTTGCTCCTGTGTTATATGCATGGCTAATTTGATTTTTATTAGTATAAAAGTTATTTGAAGGTATTTTTAAAGGCAGTGACATTAACAGATGGAACTTGTTTTCCTGGATGTGGTATAGATCAATAATGTTTAATGTCATGACGATGATTTCCTGAAGTTAGGGCTTGCTTCAAAAGACATTTGTTGTAAAATATACCTCAATATGGTTAAAATCCTGTAAAAAAACAAAAAAACCTATCATTTTGTATCCTTGATGCTAGGGCACACAAGTTTCATTCACTAAAATTGTAATTGCGTATAATATCCACCTAACTAGTTTCTTGCTCTCACCGTTGCTTTTATCACTAGTTTTTTACATGCATGTATTTTTGGCTTCTGTCACATTTTTAGATCAGCTTTTTCAAACAGAAAAGCGGAAAAGAGAGGACCACCCCCACTCAGCCTATCAGCTCTCAGCCCAAAGTATCAAAATGTGACTCACAGGGCCACTTACAAGTATGCCAAATACAGCACGATTTCTAATATTATGGAGATTGGCTCACAAAAATACTCTTATGCTGGGACTAACAATATGTGTTATTTATAGGAGGGAAAAGTAAAGTACTGCAGCTTTAATCAAAACGTATACTGTGTTTCCTTAGCAACCCTATGCATTCTGTGTTTAGTTTGTGACTGGTAGAGCATCACATCTTTAACTTATTATTAAAATCCAATTAGAAACGTGAGTCTCATGACCACAGATAATATCGTCTCCTCTTTTGTGCAACTGATTTGACTGGCGACCGTGGCGTTTGCGATGACAGCGGCGCAGCCCTCAGTCTCAGACCTCCCCCCACCCATAGCACCTTTCCCCTGAAGTCACCCCCGTCTCCCCCCACGTCTCACCCCGTGCCCTCCCTCCGCACACCTGACCATGTCTTGTGCTTAAATGTGATTTGTCAGTGTGCTGCAGGCCCCATCTGCTGCTTCAGGAGGCCTCATTACAGCCCGTGCTATGGAGAGCTATGGTCCCTGAGTGGATCTGCTCATTAAGGACACTTCATAGAAAACACACCATGTACCTCTTAACAAAGGGCCTGCTATTGTGGCCGGGGGCGGTACATTTGACACGCTTTACTCCTGCCAGCCCACGCACAGCTATAAGAGGAAAGAGAGATCATGTTATCAAACTGTGTTCACTTTCTAACATGGTGTAATTAATGTCTGTGTTTGTCAGAGAATGATAAGAAAAAAATATTCACATGTTGAAGCTATATCAGATCTGCTGTTGAAACTACTTTAATGTTTACTGACATTTATCAGTCACGTCTGGATTGTTCAGTAATGCCTTAAAAACATCTAAATACTATTGTGATTGATTACAGAGAAAACATGTTTTTTTAATGTGTTTTCCCACTGGGTTATTGTGTCATGTCCTTGCAGATGCAGGAGGGTCTAATACTGACAGTGATGATCCAGGACATTTATGGACATTTATTTATATTTCTGGATATTATTACATATCCTGGGTTCGGACTGTTTGATGCTTTGATCGGTTGTCGTTTGTGAAGCCCTTCAAGACAACTGCTATTATGATTTAAGGCTATACATAGATAAATGTAATTGAATTGAAGGATCTCTTGAATAATCGCACCCACAATCTGAAAGATATTTACAACATTTTAACCTCAAATTCACCCTAGAATTCTAACTCAATACTGGAATGAATGAATAATGTAATTTCCAGGGAATGTGGTCATGAAATTTGATTTTCTGCATTGAACGGTTACATTTTGCTCCATGTATCTAGTTCAGAATTCAGAAATACAATACAGTACATGACTATAGTATTGTATGATTTACCAACAATTTATATCGTATTCTTTTTTCCTGATAATTGCAATATGAGCAACACCACTGTGAATGTTTCAGCCCACCTATACTTGTGATGCTAGTGTAATTGTTCCCAGCTTTAACTAGAAAATACATGTATAATCATTGTTTTAAGCTGTCGGTTTGACACGTTGTGCTGTGTTGCAGTGCCAATGCGGTGAGCAGTCGAGACGGCCTGGACACAGAGACGGGGACAGACTCTCTGCTGAGCCATCGGAGGGAGAGGGAGCGAGAGCGCGCCCGGAGGAGAGTCAGGGAAACGCAGCGTGAGTCGTCAGCAGCATCCTCACTCATCACATTATCCACTCATTTAAAAGCCATTAGGTGCACGGCCTCTCGCTCAGCTGCCCGCTCCACTGTGCGGCGGTCACCACTTATCACATGCTGCACTGGGACTCTGGCATCGGGAAAGAGGAAGGATGTCTTTTGTGATAGATATTTATTTACAGAGGTTTCGATCTCGGTCTTTAGTGCTCCGTCAGTTTGAGGTCAGAGCCGGTGCCTCGCTGACTGTCGGATGATGGCACTGTTACAGCTGAAGGAATCATCAGGAAATTAGTGGTATTTTATTTTGTGACATGTCATGTAACACCAGGTTGCAAGGGTTTATTACAAGATCTTGCAAGTTTAATTGTATAGCACAGTTCATACACAACTCAAAGTGCTTAACAAAAATATATAGCAATTCTAGATTATTTTTTCATTGAACCAGCAATGTTCTGTTTGTAAATGTGAAGAGATTTTGCATTTACAGAGTTTTTTTTTTTTAATTCTTCACAAATAATACGTCAAAAATGTCTTGAATTTGAGTTAATTTTGTCTTAAATCTTCACGGGACAAGAAAATGGCTGACTTGAAATGAAAAATAACTTGAAATAAGACTGTTTGCCCAATTGGAAAATCATGTTTAAAGATTCAAGCTTTCATCAAACTCTTTTTTATCATGGTTATTATAGTATTGTTCTGGAGATTGAATTCCCTGATGATTATTTGTTTTAGCCAGGTACACATGGCTACCCCTCATAATAAGATTATTTTACTGCTCCACCACATGCAAAAACCTTTTTGAGTTTGTCGGTTGACACAACTTTCTTTGAATATGAGCATTCTGACTGAACTAAAAATATTCCTAATTTTTGGTAAAATCTCCATACAAAACCCCACTATTCCTCTTAACACCATCTTATGTACTTACATCAGTGGCATTTCAACATTTCACCTCTAATTAAGAACCTGTATATGACAACCCCACCATGTAAACAGAGAAAGCCACTCCAGTTTGTTCCTGCCCTTGCCACACACTCTCAATACTTTCCCTGAATGAGTTTGTTTTTGTTTCACCAAAGCCCAGGCTGCTTGCTGTGCTCATGTCCCCCTCTTCACAGCCTCCTCTCTGCATCCGCTGCTCCAGGCTCATTACCCAAACACTCATTCACTTACGGGGGCTGGATGATTAGACCGGCACAAGGCTCAAGCGGAGGACATTGCCATCTCTTGAGCTGGGAGTGGATTAGATTTGAACTCGGCCAAGTCCTTTGGGAATAGCCGTGTCACAATATGCAGCCTCTTCTCTGTGTTTGCATTGTATTCTGTTTGTGTTTTCAGCATCTGTCACATGATAAAAATACCCAGCCGAAAAACAAATCTTTACCCTCTTCCTGTTTGTGCATCTCCGTTGAAAAATAATTCAGATTTTCACATTACTAGCCCCGCTTCAGTTTCAGAGACCGTCTTCCTGTGTGTGTAATTAACAGGCAAAAGGCACCGGGGGAATTGGGGGAGTTCCTTAGTTCACTGCTGATTTAGTGGCCCATAAATCTCACCAATCTTGCACTTAACTAATTCAATTGTCTCGTTTGAGCTCTGTGTTTACAAGGAATGTCAACACTCATTGATTTAACAATTTATTGCGGTTATCGGAGCCACTTTGTGTAGAAATCTAAAGCATGTCAGGCAGCCGTGCACGGTTGAATATGTCATTCTCTCGTGGATCAATACTGCAGTGTAAGTACAATAGACTGCACCCTTATATCATGCATCAAAAGACTTACAGCATTTGACCGAATGAAATAGTCTCTCACTACGTACATTTGGTAGGATGTAAAACCTTGTTCAAAAAGTGGAAGGACATTTATTTATATATGACCCTGTCGAGGCATTTTACAATTACACATAATATAATCTGTCTTCCAGAAAGCAAACGTCAGAATAAGTTTCGAAGTAGATTCATTTGTGTCAGGGGTGGGGTGGGTCAGCTATGGAATGGTGTTTTTGATGCATTAAAATGTGACAGTTCAATAATTTCACACACATTGAAAAAAGGTCTTGCTATGGATTTTAAAGCAAGTCATAATGATTTCAAATGTGTTTATTGTTATCATAATTATAGTTTTTTTTTTTAAATAATGGACTTTTGTTTGTAATTATGTATCTGTATGGTATGCTTATGACTACATGTGTGAGTGTCTGTCCATGGATAATTGAGGATGTGTGTATATACTGTTTATATTTCTTGTAATATAAGCAGTCTGCGAGTTGTGTAAATACTGATAAATAATTGTAACAAAATTGTTTAGAAAAGAGCTTTATTTTGGAGATAGAGCTATAGCGCCAAACCTGATTCTAAACCCTTTCGTCTTTAAAACAGTCCATCTTTTGATATGAACTTTTTGTATGAAATTGGGCTTGGTTTTTGACCATCTCTGCTGCTGTGACCTGAGTTTTATTTATTTATTTTGCTGCTACTGGACACCTGAATTTCTCCTTTGGGGATCAATAAAGAATCTATCTATCTATCTATTTATAAGGAATGGATAAATACAAACATCTGTAGAGCATGGAAAAGAAAGTAGTATAGTAAAGTTTAGTAAACTAAAAACTGTCTTGGATTTACTCTTTGAGTGATCTCAGATTTGGAGCTCTTTCCATCTAGTGTTCCATTTACAAGGAGCATAATGAGAGAAGGCAGCCTAACAAGTCTATATATAAATAGAGAGATAGAAAGAAATAGAAATGTATTTATTCCTGTACAGTATTTATTTTATTTTTCCACATATCTAGCACACTTTACTAGGATTTTCACGAGGGTCAGCAGCTCCGCCTCTCGCTCTGGCGCCTTCAGCAGCAGAAGGAAATTCCCTGTCACTCAATCCAGCCCCTTCGGGTGTTCACTGTGAATGCTATCTTTCTCACCACTAACTGCTCCAGTAATAGGAACACCAGTGTCTTCTTGTACAACAGCCTTTTGGCCAGAAAGGATTTGGCAGTTAAGGCTGTTGTACTGACTGAAGGATTTAGTCATTAAAAAACGTTCCCTGTTAGGCTCCGGTCTGAACCTGATCCTGGTTTGAACCTGTTTTACTTCAGATGTAGCTCACTTTAGTCCAGATTTAGTCCTGGTTTTATTTTGTGTGTGGAAGTGAGAGCACAGCTTATGTTTTCCTATTCCAAATAATCCAGTGTTGTTCCATTTAACAGTCAAACAGCGCGCTTAATCCGGCGTACATGTGTTCCCGACGGATTCTTTTCTAAAACATATTCTTTCATCGCATTTTTGTAAACGTTTTCTCAGACTTTGGGTTAATTCCTTTTACAACCGGATACCTTCTTCACCTGCGGCGCTGGGGAGACAGAATGACACGTTATCTCATACAAACCCTTTGGAAGAATGTCTCTGATTGGTCCAGAGGAGATTAGCAGTTCGAGTCTAGTTGTGTACCACATTAAAGCAGGCAGAGGATGCGTTTGCTTCACATGGTTTAGTGTGAATGGAGGATAGTTTCTGCACTGGTGAGAACGTGGTTGACTTGTTTGTAGACTAGAACTAGTGTAGGACCGGGTGGAATTGATGCTTATTGAACCAAAGCTAAAGAGAAGCTACACTATGATGGGACCTTTGCAAAGATTGAAATGTATAGAACAAAGGCTACAGTTAAAGCTGGGGTACCTAACTTTTATCTCTTTTTTGTCCCGACAGAAAGAGGCATGTAAATGTTTTGAACAAATCGTATTAAAAAACAATTTGTAAGTAAGAAAGTTCTACTATTGACGCTTTGGGCTGGTCTGAGAGCTGATTGGCTGAGTGAAGGTGTTCCGGTCTGAATTTTAGTGTATTTATTTGATCAGGAACAGCACACAATACTCAACTTATAAAAAGAAAATATTTTTAGCAAAAATGCTTGTTTCCACCCATAGTCCCAAGACAGGTTGATGAGAGGTTGATATATTTCCAGTATTTGATGTTTTTGAAAGCGTGGTACCCCAGATTTAAGCAATAAGATTGGTTGTTTGTTCTCCCAAATCCAATTTTTCCACCTTTTTTCTATCTGGTTCTATTTTTGGCTCGTGGGTGCTTGTTTGTTTGGACGCTGATGTCTCCTTTGTCCTGCCTATTGTAGATGAGCCGTGAAGCGCTGGAGCAGCTGGTGGGAGCTCGAGGAGCGCACGGAGCTTTGGTATTTAGATCCCGTGGCGCCCAGATGGAGCCGGGCATAACCACCGGCTCCTGCTCCTTTTAAAGAGCGTGAAAAACACTGGTGACCTGTGAAAAGATAGAGTTCTCGTAGCTCCGCACAGAGATGGGAATGACCGCATTGTTGGGATGTTTTACTCGCTCTCGACGCTGGTGCTGGCGGCCACTCCCTCGCTGCTGTGACCGACCTTTTCAACCAATCCGCTGCTTTCCAGAGAGCACGCCGCGGAAGTTCAAGTGTATGTATGTAGAGAAGGAGCAGGATGGGTTTAGGTTATAGAGCGTAGTCTATGGGTGTCTCTGTCTATGTGTGTGCATTTTTTATGTATTCACTGCAAAAAGTGGCAAAAAATGTGTGTAAGTGTAAATTGAGCTAACTTTTACTGCCTTTAGATTCATATTCAGTTTATTTGCCATTTGCAGTAAAAAAAACTCACATTGGAATACATTAGCAAAAAGTCACCAGTGTGCGCAGACAAATACAGACATAAAACAACAGTAAAAGGACGGAAATAAAACGGTAAACAAGTGTCACTGTGAAATCGATCGGCTAAAGCAGTTTCAAAACAAGTGCAAAAAAAAAAAAAAAAAACAAGATTTGCCATAGAGACAAGCGCATTTTATTGTTTTGAAAATAATTTTAATTTTCTAAAAGTAAAGTAAAAAAATACTGAAATGACTAAAAGGCTTGTTCCATTGTCGGATCTTGTTGTAAGACAGCCAAAACTTACTCAAATTAAAACAAAAACAACTGGATTCAAGTAATTATTACCTCATATTTTATCTCTTTTTGCAGTGTTGAATATATATTGGTGACTAGACCAGGCGGGATAGTAAAGTTTATATATTGATTTAGTTGTAAAAATTGGTGAAAGCACAGTATAGTGTATAGTAGTGTATAGCACAGTTCATACAGATCAAAGTGCCTCACAAAACAAGAAAAGAATCATTATTATCTTTGTGTGTTTCTCAAACTGTGGTCATGTATATACTGTATGTAGCACTGGTGATACCTGAGCCGCTTCAAGTTCATTTGCAGAAACAGATATCGATGTTTTGAAGTTGTGTTGCCAGTACTTTAGAAAGAATTCTGCTTGAGAAGGGTTAACTAGTTTCATGAATTTAGAATCATGTTTACCAAATTTCTGTCCTTTTTGGTATTAATCTTCATTTTGAATTACCACAGAAACTGAGTCGCCATATTTGAACCCTGGCTATAGACTTGTTTTGACTGGTTTTAGACTGGTTTAGACCCAGAAAAATCTTGCTTTAGATTGGTTTACTGATAAACCACTTGTGATTATCACCCACGTCTGTAAAAAGTGATCATCAGATCAATGCATATCCTAAAGCAGTTGGTAAGATCATAAACAATGTTCACAATGTCATCCAGGCACCTTCAGCTCAGCTAACATGCCATATTAAAGCTGAGAACTTCAGGATCTTGTGCGACAATACGCACTCATTATTCAGGTCAATTCAGCTCCTTCAAATGTTCAATATTATCATTTTATACCTCATTTTAAATCTCTGAACGGCCTGAATCCAACCGGAAGTCCAAGAGAGATGTGATTTAAAGATTCACTTTCAAATTCATTTCACAACACAAATGTATTATAAGTCTGTGGAGGATTGTCTTTCCATCTGAGACTAACAGAAAGCCCGTGCTCACAGTGGGTCTGTCACTGTTCGTTAGTGGCCTCCGCAGGTCCATTTTCCCTCATTAGCATGTCTTCCTGTGTGTCTCAAATTAGCAGCGCTGCCTTTTGTCTGGGATGCTTCCTTTCTTGCGCTCTGGTCTGAAGGATCTAACGCAGCCTGATCTCCCAACTGACTCTGTGCTGTGCTTCCTCCAGTACCGCGGATCAACGGTCACTCCAAATCAGAGCGTACGGCCCGAGACTCCGCCATGGGCTACGACAGCACGTCCATCATGAGCAGCGAGCTGGAGTCCAGCTCTTTTGTGGACAGTGAGGAGGACGAGGACGCCAGCAGGTAACGCAGACATACGACTGCTGCGCTGAGACCCTACTCACACCGTTCACTTATTCTACTTTGGTGATGATGATGTTTGAGGAGACATGATATACAGAATAGTTTGACTGTATGGACTAGAACAAATGTTGTTCTCGTCAAGTCTCAAATTAAACGTTTGAAGAATTGTCTAATTCATTATGCATTCATGTATTTATTGATAGATACACTGCATATATAGGAGCATATCAATCAATTTTCATACAGAAAATGCAATACAAAGCACACACACACAAACACACAGAATTCTGGAAGGATTCTTATATCTGCAGAATCCTTCCAATGGCAATAAACGTGATTTTCTTAGATATTAATCATTGATAGTGTTTTGAATACATCGGACAAACTTCCCCTTGTCACATATTATTCTCACTATAATAAACATATGTTTTGTCTCCAGGCTCAGCAGTTCCACGGAGCAGAGCTCGTCGTCACAGCTGATGCGGCGGCACAAGCGGCGGCGGCGGAGGCATAAAGTGACCAAGATCGACCGCGTGAGTCCAGCAGGCACACATCAAAGCCACGGCCCGTAACCGTAGCGACACAAACAAACGAACACACTGATGGATATGGATGTAATGTCCGCCTCTCTTACCCTCCTCCCTTTGTGCTTCCAGTCCTCCTCGTTCAGCAGCATCACAGACTCCACCATGAGCCTCAACATCATCACTGTCACTCTCAATATGGGTGAGTGGCGTTACCGTAGCGATGTGTAGTGACAGTATTACGACTTTGGTCTCGTTTCTATATGGAATCTGCTTTGAGTTCGCTTCAGTGGTAATAATACAATATCTACATATAGCACATAATCCTAATATTATTCCACACTACTGGAAATGATTCATTTTTAGTAAATAACTGAAATAATAATAATAAATACATTTATTTGTAGAGCACAAGTTTACAATTCGTCATTATAATATAGAATACCAAAGTAAAGACAGAACAAAGACAAGACTACGTACATTCTCAAATAGTGACTAATAAGACCGCATGTGGTGGCAGTTTGGTCACACCATTTACTTTTACAATCAAACCCAATATATTTTGTTTGAAGAAAAAAGTGAGGTTACCCAAACTTTAAAGATTTGTGCGAAAGTGTTTTTGTTCAGTGTGGACCAAACCACTCCACGAATATAAACAAACTGTCAACTAACAAAAGAATCCATTTAAAATCCATCTATCCATTTAAAACATACCGTTACTGTTCTAACCAGTCATTTTCATTATGAGTCTATTTTAGATCAAGTCTCTCTGTGTCCAAGAGGTTTCGAGGCTAGATTATTACTATAGGATTGCAGTGAATCTTGCAGCTCTAGTCATTTACTTCCACCTTTCCCTCAGACAGGATAATGAATGGACTTGAAAAGCTTGGGTGGGGGTCTGTAAGTCCATTTATTTACCAGTGAGAGCTCAGAATCCCCAGAGGAGGTGTGTAAAAGAGCAGGGCTATTGTGGGAATCAGCAAATATCCATTTCTAAGGCTGCAAAGGACACACATTTTAGTCATTGTCAAGTCAGACATTTGGCTATTGCGTGTGACCATATTAAAAACTAGTTTGACAAGATAGTGTGGAGTGATGGTGACTGAACATTCCATAGAAAAGATTTTGATGTATTGATTAGAAGCCCAAATACTTTTTATTCAATGCTGTCATTTATCTGATGTAAATACTTCCTCTAATACGATTATGTTTGTTGTTATAATACTTTAGTGGTTACAATTATTCAGATTCATCTTTTTAATGTGATTCCTTCTAATGATGTCCCTAGCTAGCATATGGGGTTGCAACTACTTGAATGGCATTACAGATATCACCTTTAAACACATATATAAATCAGAATCAGAATCAGAATCAGAATCATTTTTATTGCCAACGTAAGTAACGGGAGGTCACAGACTTGGAAATTGCTTTGGCTCAGTGCAACAGTCGAAAAGAGATAATAAAAATAAGAATAAAAAACACTTCTAAAGAATAAATTTAAATTTAAAATAGAGTTACAGTTACTATTTACAATATACAAGTGCACATGGTGCACACAATGTAAGGTGACAGCAGTACAGTGAAGTAAAGTGACGTATGATGGGCAGTAAAGTGACTTTATAAAGGGCGGGGGGACAGGTTAAGAAGTGTTCAAGAGTCCAACAGCAGAGGGGAAGAAACTGTTCTTGTGGCGGGAGGTTCTAGTCCTGATGGACCGCAGCCTCCTGCCTGAGGGGAGTGGTTGGAATAGTCCATGTGCAGGGTGAGAGGGGTCGGCTGTGATACGACCAGCCCGGCCTCGAGCTCGGGCGACGTACAGGTCCTGCAGCGATGGAAGGCTGCGGCCGATCACTTCCTCTGCAGAGCGCACAATGCGCTGTAGTCTCTGTTTGTCCCTGACTGTGGCTCCAGCGAACCACACGGTGATGGAGGAGGTGAGGATGGACTCGATGATGGCCGTGTAGAACTGCACCAACATCTGTGCAGGCAGCCGACTGGTTTGACCGTTTCCCTTGTTGTTTTCACAGAGAAGTATAATTTCCTGGGCATCAGTATCGTGGGTCAGAGTAACGACCGGGGCGACGGCGGCATCTACATCGGCTCCATCATGAAAGGGGGAGCGGTGGCTGCGGACGGGAGGATCGAGCCTGGAGACATGCTGCTGCAGGTCAGATTATGTGATGATGTCGTCAAATTCAATCAATATGTTTTGTATTTAAGATAAGATAAACGTTATGGATCTCACAATGGAGAAATGTACAAGTCACTTTTAGAAACAACCCGTTCAACAACCCAAAGTGCTTTATAGACACATTAACGCAACTCAATGAGAACAAAAATAACACATATTTTCTATAAAACAAAGTAAAGTAGTAAAATCTCACGCTGTCACATTCTCAGCTAAACATTGAACATGGATTTCTTTCTTGGCCTGATACTAATACTGACTCTAGATGTCTTACTAGTACTGTGTTATTCTTAGTCATACATTTTGAGGTTTTTGGGGACTTGTAATAACCACATGTGTTCACGTCTTACTTCCTATTTACAAAATATGTGTCTGGTTTGTGTGAACACAAACCAGGCCCAACACATCCCCCTGCCTTGTTTGTCTACATTCTCTGTTGCAGAGAATGTAAACTAGTTACATTAAGACAAATCCGTAGACTATAACGTTGAGAACAGTTGTAAGGATGTTTCACCTTTTAAATTAGTTTTGGGGAATTTCTCAAGTCCAAATATGTTTTTTTACAACCGCATGCCTTCAATTACACTGCGACATGTTAGATTCAGATTAGATTAATAATTTATACAATTGGAATTTCCCACTTCTCACAATGTGGTGTGTGGGATGCGCTATCTTACAATACATGTACTTTTTTACTTGGGTGTCAAGAAACTCGCCTAAAAAATAATATATATTATGATGATTATTATTATTAATACAATCAATTGAACTTGTTGATCCAAATTTTGCACGGTGGCGCATAGCAAGAAAGTCCTCGTTTCCACTTGCATGTTCTCCTTGTGTCTGCTTTGGTGTCCTCCCGGTGCTCCGGTTTCACCCACCACTAAAAACCTGTACAATAGGAGTGAATGCAATGTGTGAGTGAATGGATGGTGATGATCTGTTTTCCATTGTGGAGGAAATGGAAAAAAATATCAGCACCAGATTTCAGCTCTAAAATCATTGTAAAGCACTTTGTGTGACCTTGGCCTGGGAAAGGCGCGATACGAATATAGATTACTTACTTACTGTTTCATGTATTATTGTCTTGGTTTATCGCCCTTTCCACTGCCTCTGTGTTGCCTCAGTAAACCGTAAATGAAAACTGGAGACAATAGTTATCTCTGACCTATCGCTATGTTCCTCTTTAAAGGTGAATGAAGTCAACTTTGAGAACATGAGCAACGATGACGCCGTCAGAATCCTCAGAGAAATCGTTTCCAAAACCGGGTATGTTTTTGTCCTCGGTACATTTACCAAACTGCTTATCCTATATCACCTTAATATTAACGTCATCAAAGTGTCTAAATCTGACTATTGTCTATCTTTCAGTCCTATTAGTCTTACTGTTGCCAAATGCTGGGACCCGTCTCCCAGAAGCTACTTCACAATTCCACGTGGTGAGAATATTATTTGATATTATTACTACAAACTGGCTGCTTTCTGCTCCTGACAAAAAAATAGACTGAAACAAACTGAATTGGCGCTGTTTTTCACATTTTTAGCCGAACCGGTGAGGCCCATAGACCCCGCAGCCTGGATATCCCACACCACAGCTTTGACAGGACCATTCCCACACTACGGTGAGGCTGTACACGTAACGCCAATATTTAACATGGATAGGTCTGTAAGCATTTTTAGCATTGTTGAATGTTGTAATATTTTGTAGTTTCCTTTTGGAGGATCAGCTTGTTTAGTATTTTGCCTGCTGCATAAGAAATAACCAGTATTCCTTGATAATAGTCACACAAAAAAAAGTTCACTGAAATAAGTGATGAAAAACAAGTCAAACATTTCTCAAAGTTGTTAATTGCTAAATGTATCTTGGACTACCTTAAAACAAGATTTGTAAATGAGAGAAGCAACATTATCTTTAAAAAAAGATACAAACAACTGTTTTTGAAATCCGCCTAAATTGCTTTGTCCCATTGACAAATCATGTGTTTAGTCAAAACGTGCTTAAATTAAGATACAAAAACCACAAGATTCAAGCAATTATTACCACATTTTTTTGCAGAAATTGTCTATTGTCTATTCTGTCCATATTCCATTGATTATGAACTTTAACTATTTGTTAACGTTATCTCAAATGAACATGTTTTTTAATTTTCAAATGATAATGACAGAAACAGAAACTCCAGTTCTCAGTGTATGGTTCCTTTAACATCTGTGAAGAGTCTTCTGTGGTGGTGGTGAAGGAGGTTTTTCATCCTCTGATGCTAAAGCTCTTCATTCTTCTTGGTAAAGAAAAAAAAAAATCCAGTCTTGAGATCTCCCCAGAGCAATGACGTGATCATTTATTTGACAATCCATGTTTTCACACGACCACAATCATTCAGTGTGGGAAACATGTCCTGGCTGGGTGTAAACATTCAAACACAACTGTAATATTTGCATTTACACATTTGATGTTTTAAATACCGATACAATACACAACAAAAATGGACTCCTATTCCATTTCTATTTTATTTGTAATTTGCCGAGTTAAAGCAGGTTTTTGTTTTTGTTTTTCTTGCAGAGTTTGACGACTTGCCGCTGTCCGTCGCTAAGACAGACATGGCCACGATGGTGAAGGTGATGCAGCTGCCCGACTCTGGTCTGGAGATCCGCGACAGGATGTGGCTGAAGATCACCATCGCCAACGCTGTGATCGGTGAGAGCAGCCGTTTCTGTCACAGCTTTACTCTAAGTCACTCTGATTAACTGTAAGCCCCCACCTCCCCACCTCCTTATCTCCCCCACCTCCTAACCACAGGCACACTTACCAGAAAGACACCACTTCACTGCAGCATTGTTGTTTGACTGAAACTGAAACTGTAACTGTAACTGTAACTGTTACTGTTACTGTACTGTGGGTGTCAAAATATATTTATATACATCTGTGTAGTAATAGAACCTTTATTTGCGCACGTTTCAGTGTTGCAGATAAAAATAAAACGAGCCCTCAAAATAAAATAGTTGTGATATTTTGAGAATAACACAAATCTCTGCATGAATCTCTTAAGCCTTTAGAAAATAGCTGTAATGTCGCTACGCCTGCTTTATTGAATACCAAGATACATTTTGGTATGTGTTTGATATCCTGTACTTCCTTTCATTTTTAACTACATTTTAAAATGAAAATGAAACCATGAATGAGGAGTGTTCGGACCCATGTGAGTAAACCTTGTTCTGACTCATTGAATTGTTCTCTTCCAAAACCAAAACTCCGGTCTTTCACTAGTTGCTTTATGTTGCGGACAGAGAGCAGCCGGCAGTGTACATGTTTACCAAATAACCGTTATTATAATCCACAATATATATTTATGCACTCTACTTCATTTCCACCCTGCATTTTTGGACAGAAATGGCAGAGAGTGTGTAGTGGTGAGAGATGGGCCCAGAGTGATGTCCATAAAGCCCCACTAAGATGCATTCACAATAGTTTAAGACAGGTTAGAATCAATTAGTTAGAAAAATCTGAAAAAAATAGAAACAGAAAGTCACACACGAAGGATTTTCTTTTGGTAAATGGTGCAAACAAGTAAAACATATACAAAGGCATGCACAATCAATCTTAAAGTAGCAATATGTAAAATGTTCATGTCAAATCACCATGCTCTTTTTGAATACTTCTTTAACGGATAACATTACTTCAGCCGAGATATTTGGATTTCAAAATTAGTTTTACAGACCCTGAATCTTGTTATTGTTTTCATTTCGATGCAGCACCCCCCACAGTTTAACCAATCAGAAAGTCTGTGATCCGGGTTGGCGCTGGTAAAGTAACATGTGGTTCCAGAACGAAAAAAGGGGTCGTTCTGATTCTCAAAACATTAATGAGAAAACAAGAAATAAAACAAGGATTTCTGTCTTTGTGATAGAATGTACCACTTTTGCCAGATTTTTGCATCTTGCTACTTTAATACTAAATGGATACCGTACACACAATAAACATACATGTAACAGTCTTTCACTCATAAACTGTGATGTTATGTCAAACCCATATCACAGATGTATATTTGTCGTGACCTTCAAACATTCCAAACCGCACCAGTCGACTCTTGCACGGTCTTTGTCAGTGTGTAATCTGGCTCCCTTTGTTGCCAGGTGCGGACGTGGTGGACTGGCTCTACTCCAGAGTGGAGGGATTCAAAAAACGTCTCGATGCCAGAAAATACGCCAGCAGTTTGCTCAAACACGGATACCTGCGACACACAGTGAACAAGATCACCTTCTCTGAGCAGTGCTACTACACCTTTGGGGACCTCTGCCAAAGTAACTGCCTCATGTCTTCTGCTGCTGCTGGTCGTCTGCCACACTGCAAACAGTCATGAAATACAAGTCCAAAAAATGCTACACAATTGGCAAAATGTGTCGTAGTTTGAGCGCATTTTGACTTGATTTAAAACAAGATTTGCCAATGGGACAAGCAAAAAAATGCAAGAAATGTCTTAAGTTGAATGAGAAAATATAGCAAGTTCTTGAAATAAGACTAAATGGTTTGTCCCTTAAAACAAGTCTGCCTTGTTAAACGACAGAATGTACTCAAATCAAGAAAAAAACTTGATGCAAGCAATTATTACCTCATATTTTATCCTTTTTTGCAGTGTAGCCTGCTGCTGATGGGGCCTTCATGTCCATCCATTTATTTTAACACTATTCCACTGGCTAGAATTTGTGATCCATATTTGTGAATAAGCAAACTAAATTGTTGTTTATTGAGGGATGAAAAAGAGTTACGGTTGAATCAGTTTTGTTCTGATCTGTTCCCTTTGTTTTAAGACATTTTTCGTCTCTGAATGATGTTGTTTACAGTGATTTTTAATCTCTTTAAAATGGGTATGTTACATGAAACCATTGGATTGGCGTATCCCTGCTTTGATTTTAGACCAACTGTCCATCAGCTACAGTATGTCCAAACTAAGGCCTGGGGGCCATTTTAGCCCCAGTGTCATGTCATGTGGCCCACTGCCTTGCTAACCCAAATTATCCATTAAGAGCTTAAGCACAAGTTCACAGCGTCATCCAACTTCAGCTCCACCGTTATAGACAAGCTCAAACTCGTTGTGAAGCTCAGACCCTTGGAAACTCAGCCGTTAATATGGACGCTAATGCTGCTGTGGTGTTATAGTAAGCTAGTAAATGTTAAATATGAAACTATTTGGACTTTTCATTTCTCATTATATCTGTTTTTTCGGCCCCTGGACTGGTCAGGTCAGCTGCAGCGGCCCTAATACTAACACATGTGGAAACCCCTGCTGTACATGTTTTATGCCTGTTGTTTTTCCTGATCATATGATGTGGTCCTCTCAGACATGGCCTCTCTGAACCTGAACGAGGGCTCCAGTGTCGGCGGCTCGGAGCAGGACACGCTGGCCCCTCTCCCTCCGGCCGCCAACCCCTGGCCCCTGGGAGGACAGCCGTTCCCGTACCCCGCCTTCCCCTCGGCGCCCCCCAGCTTCCCCCCCGGATACTCGGACCCCTGCCACAGCTTCCACAGCGGCAGTGCGGGCAGCCAGCACAGCAAGGGTGAGAGCTGTTCCCGTCTTGTAGCATGACCCCCCTCTGTCCACCAGGAGGCAGTCTTAAAGGACACGTATTATGCACAACTTTCAACCCCGATGTTTCTGCGCCAAAAACATTCTGTTACTCCATGTTGAATCCGGCCAATCAATGATGTATTATAGTATAGTAACCATTGACTTCGACACTGCATCGCCACACTGGGATTTCATCATTGTGAGACAAATCTAAAAGTCCTCTTAACACTAGGAGCGCCCCTAGCGGTCAACTGACCGTCACTCACTTTAATATGCTAATTAGTGTATTCAAAACAAAACGCCAGAAGTTGAAATTTTATGACTTTTTCTAGGTACTTGTTGTTTATATTTTGGTGTGTTTTGGTTTTGGAAAAAGTAAAGAAAACAAGATTTACACGCATTTTAACTTTTCTAAACCACAGCCCTTTCTGCTTCCCCATGGAGATACATGGCGCAGGGGCGACTGTTGTCATAGTAACCTTTCCCGGGGGTTTTTTCGCGCCTTATAAAAATGTATCAATATGTTTTCATTAGACTCTAAAGGGACTTTTTTATTATTATTTGGGAGAGAGGGAGGAGTACAAAATGAATAGAGCTGCAAGTACACGGTAGAAGCCCTGACAGTGCTTCAAGACATTGAATGAGAACAGTCTGACGGAGGTGAGAGATGTCACATTTTGAGGTAGAAAGTGACAGCGGGGAGAACACCTATAATATTCTAAATCTGAACGTAAACCCGTAGTGCATTCACGGCACGGACAGCAGTGTTGTAACAAGTCCAGAAGCAATAACGCACATGACCCGCGTAATGCCAGCCATACGCAGGTGTCTGTGTGCGCGCTGTCGCTCCATTCTGCCTTTTCATTCATCATCAATTACATTATTATATTTATACATACAAGAAGGCAATACAGCAGAATACAATATCGCAATAAAATAGAACAATTAGATGAACTATCAAGGCAGAGTGCAGAGAGAGCGCTGTGAGGCCTCTCGTCACCCGCGGACACTGCAGGAGGAGAGCGGGCTGTGGCAGAAGCGGCCCTCATCATATCAATAAGGATATCATTCTTATTTCATTCAGATAACACTGTGTGTTATTCTGCACAGCGCGCACTGCAAGGCAATGATTATAATGTTGTTCTGAGCATAAAGAGCACTGCTTGTCTCAAATAAATACAAATATATATACATATATTTGTACAAATATATATACATATATTTGTATTTCTAACGTGTCCCGTGTAAAATTGAAGATTGTACATTGGCGATGGTAGCCTAGCTGATGATCTTGTGTCAATACGAATATTATTATTATCTAGATAATATTTCCCACGGTGATTTCGGCCTCTAAAAAGAAAACAGTCTGGAGATGACGTAAGAAGTAGACGCATATAGCAGCGCGAAGACGTTATGGTCCCGTGCTTTTCTAAACTATAATTTATATTGTTTGAATTTACATATTGTTATTGAGTCAAATATAACATATAGTGACCGACCTTTTAGGTGTTTGCAAAGTTACAAAATAAATCTAGCCTGAAAAGTCATCGTAATTTTGATGGATCAGTTTACGCACAATGTGTCGTCTTAGTCTTTTATTTCGGCTAGAATTACAATTACTTAGCATATTTAGACAAATAATTTACACAGTTTCATTATGATCACGATTCCTTTGCAACATCAAGTTCTGGTTTAGTGAACAATCAATTTGGCAAAAGTCTGTATCAGCGCAAAATACATAGCGGTCAACTGACCGCAGGGGGCGGTACAAGGTATGTTTAGAGCACGGCGGTCCTAGTGTTAATGGAGAGGGCAAAGTACAGGTGGAACTCATAAATGTAGAATATCGTTCAAAAGTTTATTTCTGTAACTCGACTTGCAATGTAAAATCAATTCATGATAGAGACTCATTACATACAAAGTTTAGTTTAGTTTATTGTTTATAGAACAGAGACAATGTACAGAATTATTAGTATTTTACAAAAGAAGAGATGATTCGCACCAGATTTAGCTGCAGCAACTTTCCATCAGCAAGGCAAGTTTATTTGTGTAGCACAGTTCATACACAAGGCAAAGTGCTTAACAAAACAAGAAAATAAACAGACATTAAAATCTTAAATAATCACGGTACATGCACAGGTAAATAGAACTTTTTTTCATTTGGATTTGAACAAAGTGAAAGATTCCACGCCTGGTTTACAATCCATTATCAAAATACATTTCTGAGATGTTTATGTTGTATTTATCAACACAAATGAAATCTTGATACATTCCACTGTGTGTGTCAGGTGTCATATTTGAGTTTCACATTGTAAGTTGAATTACAGAAGTAAATGGACTTTTTTTTTACCATATTCTAATATTCTGAGTTTCACAAGTTTATCATTCCCTTTTTTTACATGATTAAAGCTGGGGTGCCTGACTTTCAAACCATAACAACATTAATCAATGTAATAAATCCATCTAACTGGTTTGTCGCTCTCAATTTATTCTATCACTGTTTACACATGTGCTGTGGTCTGATTCGTCCACATTTTACTTTTAAAAGACTATATATAAACACAAAAATGACATACCACTACATAAATTCATTCTTTTGGCTCGTTTTGATTTTTTTTCCCATAAAATCTTGATTATTACTTTCATTATTACTTCCGCTGTTCTCATGTCAGTAAAATGTCTTGTCCACTCACTCACAACATCTAACCACATATCATGAATTACCAACGGCCAGATTCTCAACTTTGTTTAAAGTATGCATAATATTTGTCACTTAAGCCTGTCTCATTCTCTCTGAGCTCAAATCCAAACCTGGTGCATTTTCATACAGTTGTAGTTTGATCTGCATCTTGCCGTACTGCAGGCCTGGGGACAGTGGAGTCGAACTCTTTCCTTTAGCATTTTATCGGTTGGTTTGGGCTCCTCTGTTGCTTCTGCATGTTCCTAATGATAGAATGAGGGAGACGCTGATGTGGTGCTGATGATAGTGTGTAGAGGTTTGAGTAGCAGATGGTTGAAGCGGTAAGTGACATGTCTCCATCTGTCTCTTCTGTCGTGAACCATCAGTCACCCTCTCTGTTTCTCTTCACGTCTCTGCAGCACATGGCAGTCCTGTTGTGTGGATGTGTGTATAATGTTGCTCTGCTCTGGCTGTGTTCACGTCAGCATGTGGAGGCGCACTAGGGAGGTGTGTGTGTAATTCTGTTGTTCCTCTGTTTATGCTGGGCTACGGTAGACTGAAGGAGGAGGTAGACCCAGGACATGGGGGATCCGGTAAGCTGCTAACCCCTCTGCTGTCTGCATCCATCCTACTCACTCTCTCTGCTCTGTCCTCTCACTCACACTGTGCTCTGTTCCTGCATTTGTCTAAATCATGGTCTCATTTGTGCTTTTGTCACGTGTGTGCTCTTGCCCTGCCCCATGCTGCAGTACAGTGTGTCACAGAGAGGGGGCGCACAGGCACCACTCCAGGGAAAGTCATGAACTGTTATTTGGCTGTGGATCTTCCTCTGCTGAGGGTCGACCATTTTCACACTTATTCTTCCTTCTACTCTGAATGTTTGGAACATGTGTTTTGACACGTGCACTTCATAAGCTTCAACACTGTCTTCTGTAGGCTCCTGGGCTCTTTTCATTTAGATTACTGTACAAGAGTTTATATTACTGTACATGAGTTTAGATTACTGAACACGAGTTTAGATTACTATACAACAGTTTAGATTACTGTACACAAGTTTAGATTACTGTACATGAGTTTAGATTACTGTACATGAGTTTAGATTACTGTACATGAGTTTAGATTACTGTACAGGAGTTTAGATTACTGTACATGAGTTTAGATTACTGAACATGAGTTGTGAGTATTTCAGCATCTGCAGTCTGTAAATACTGCAGTGGTCGCTGAAGGTTTCAAATCGTCAAGAAATGAGCATCAATGTCATATATATTTAAAAAAAAACACCACAAATACATGGATAAGGAATATATATTTTAATATAATATGTTGCAAGTAACTAATTTCTTACTCTGAAGCTGCCTATTATATATTATATAAAATGATTTTCATTGGACTGTGCAGTAAATACATGGAGGACATGGTGTGTGTGAAGTGTGGGTCATGAGACAAACAACAGAAAACTGTTGATTTCTGCAGATTCTGTCTTTAAAGGAGCGACAGCAAACTGAGCTGGTGACTCTAACATCCCATGACTTTGATGAAATCATCAAAAAGAAATATAAAGTGTATTAAATGAGCAAACAATCGATTACTACTTAGTTTGTTAGTTCCTGAAAAAACAACTCAATCAAAGTGACTTTTCTGATTTACATTTGAACGATAAAAAATGCAAATGTTTCTCTGTTGTGTTTGTGGCAGGAAGCCGGAGCAGTGGCTCCAACCCGAGTGCAGGCAAAGGGCAGCGCTGCTCTCCTCAGGAGAAGGGCCCTGAGCCTGAGACCCCCACAGCCCCCAGAGGTCACGCCCGCTCCAGCCAATCACACCGCGGCCAGCCGTCCTTCAGCCATGCCCCCGGCTCCTGCGCCCACAGTGACAGGAGCCACGCCTCTTCCTACGGGCCCCCAGGCTTACCTCCTCCATACTGCCTGGCACGCCTCGCCCCCAAACTCTCAGGGGGCAGTGGCACTCCCCCTGGAGCCCCTCCTGGAGCCCCTCCTGGAGCCCCTCCTGGAGCCCCCCCGGGCCGAGAGCTGGCCTCTGTCCCTCCTGAACTGACCGCCAGCCGCCAGTCCTTCCAGCACGCCATGGGAAACCCCTGCGAGTTCTTTGTGGACATCATGTGAGGGACCTGTGCCTTCAGACACAGCTTAAGACAGCAGCATCTCAGAGCAAAGCATCATGGGAGCTCCCAGAGTGTACAGTCTGTGTACAGTAATGGAACTGAGTGTGTCCGTGTGGTCCTAAAGATGCAGTGTTTAGTGGAGTGTGTTTTCTGTTGGCTCTTTACGCTCCGGCTGTGGATTCAGAACCAGCCTGCACTTACTGTAACACAAGCTCTACACGCTCCGACTGGCCCCTTCTGGCTCCGACTGGCCCAGTCTGGCTCCGTCTGGCCCCGTGTGACTGAGGGACTTATCCTGTACTGAACACAAACGTTTGTTTTTTGCTTTCATGACAACAAACTGAGGATTTGCTCATAGTATTATTTGAAGGTTGTTCCTGTTGCCAATATTGGAAGGATCCATACACTGGATGGTTTTGTAATAATATTTATGTAAACATGTCTCATTAATGTGTCAAACTCTGTCTGACAATCATCGCTGAGGCACAGTGTTCTCTGTCCTCTTGTGCTGTGTTGAATGTAACATTGTTCAGTTTCAGATGGAGAATCTTTCTACCGATTGCAAACAGAAAACACTAACCCGGGCGCCCTGAGTTTGGGCCACAAACTGCAGTAGTTCTAATTCATGTCAGCGTTGGCTCGGACTGTTTTTCTGATTATGAAAATGTGTAACTAATTTGAGGAAAGTCCTGGCTCCAGATTAGAAACGTCTTTGTGAAAACACTGGCCCCAGCGTCACTTGTAACAATGTTGAAAAGATAAAAGCACTTTCCACATGGTCTGTCCCTCTCATTAGTATAAACACTGTTTGCAATTAAACCTGTTCTGTTTCTTAACAAAAGAAAATAAATTGTACATAGAAATTTATTATATATAAATAAAATCTATATGTTCAAGTACAGTTGGCCCCGGTCTGCGATGATGGCGTTTCCTTTTTTTAAAGGCAGTGAACCAGAGCTGTGTGCAGCGTGTGAAGTCAGGGGAGCACATTTAACCACACATGACGACGCTACAGTGGAACTTCCATCTCTGTGTTTCCCCCGTGGGCTGAGACTGGACCACTGCACTGACCCTGCACCGCCCCCCGCAGCAGCAGCAGCAGCAGCAGCAGTCAGGAAGGAAGTGACGGCAGAACAGCATCTCGCACATGCACCTCCATACATCAGAGAAACAACAGGTTTTTAATCCATGTGTTTTCAAATCAGTTTCATCCAAAACACACAGTTTACTAATCATGACGTCATGACCTGCACAGGAGGCTTTCTGCTTTTAATACTTTGATGGTTTGCCCAATGATTTGGTTGATCACTTTTTAGTCACTGAATCTTCTTTAAACTTGAACTGAAATCTACCTGATTGGAGCATCTCTAGCACTTGGTTTTAGGCACTTTTACCATCGAACTGCAGCTCAACCATTTTGTAGAGGCCTACAATTTATAAAAGGGGTTAAAATTATTACCGGTAGTTTATGTCATTGTGCTCCTACTTAGAACATAGAAATATTTACAGAATTGTTTTAGGGGCGACAGTGGCTCAGTTGGTAGAGCATTGATCTTTGAGCCCAAAGGTTGTGGGTTCGAGCCCACCATGATGAGACTGCTACGTAATCCCATTTTGCCTGAAGCCCTTGCTGAAATATCATGGCTGAGGTGTCACTGACACCACCAACTCAGAAATTAATTGAGGGGAAGAAAATGAATGGATTGATGGACGTTGGTTTCGTCAAAAGATTTGCCTCTAAATTAGCTCTGCCTAATTATATGTATTTATTTAGTTAACATGGACATCACACATTATTGTATTGTTCAAACAGTTACACTTGTGGTCCCAGGGCAGAGGCAGAGTGACAGCAGGCCGCAGCAGGCGGACAGTAGCAGTTAAAGCACAGGTACAATGTAGCATCAGGGGGAGGCTGCAGAGAGAAGGGCATGAGTGGGAGGTGTTTCTCTGCTAAATGTGAGTGTGTAGGTGACGGACGCTTCACTTTGTCGTCAATTATACTCACCTTTGAACAAAACGATTTAACAGTTTAAACAATAAGACGATCGTAGGTTTTAACGTTTAACAATGGGATAAGTGAATACTTCTGCACATTACCCCTTTGACATTTGTTTTATTTTATGTCAAGCTTATTATTTGTTATCACTGTGCATTGCACATGTGATATTGTACTTATTCTGACAGACATACTCTATACATTCATTCATTCATAATACAATACACAGATAACACACATGGTCTTCAAGATAACACACACTGTCTTCAGGATAACACACATGGTCTTCAAGATAACACACACTGTCTTCAGGATAACACACATGGTCTTCAAGATAACACACATGGTCTTCAGGATAACACACATGGTCTTCAAGATAACACACATGGTCTTCAGGATAACACACATGGTCTTCAAGATAACACACATGGTCTTCAGGATAACACACATGGTCTTCAGGATAACACACATGGTCTTCAGGATAACATACATGGTCTTCAGGATAACACACATGGTCTTCAAGATAACACACATGGTCTTCAGGATAACACACATGGTCTTCAGGATAACATACATGGTCTTCAAGATAACACACATGGTCTTCAGGATAACACACATGGACCATAAACATGAATGAATTTACACTAGAACTCTCAGAGCAGTCGATTTGACCCCTTACATAATTACTCATGTAAATAACTTGTAAATAACATGTAAATGAAAAAAATTAAATGAAAAACATTCTAATGCAGTTTAAATTATAGTATGGTCAAAGAGTATTGAAGTATTTCTGACTAGTTATTATGTAGAATTTCATCAAACTGTTTTGCTGTATTTTAAGCTTTATTAACCAAGTTTTTCCACTTATCAAAAGGTGGAAAAAAAATTTGCTTAATAAAACTAATTTTCAGAATCCCATTGATTTGTATGGGAGCCGTCAAAAAGACTGCTGTAGGAGTTTCAGTTGTTACAGCATTCTGGGATGTCCTTGTGTTAATGTGGGGGCTCAACATGCTCATATTGTTATGAGTTTAACTGAAAGGAAAAGACATTTGGGATTATCAGGCGGATATTATTACAGCACATAACAAACCAAAAGTCCCCGCTCTGCTCTTACCACAATTATGTGATCATTCCTGCTTTGTTTCATTTTTGGCACAAAACTAATCACTATTCGTAGTTCCCCACAGCATGACCATGACGCAGCAAAAAGCACAAGATCAGAATGTGATGGTGACTCATCTCAAATAATCATCATCGGCCTATGATGAGTTTTCAACCCTGCCGCCGGGGCTTTGACTCAGCTGGATTTGGAAAACCTCAGGATGAGCTGGTCTGAAGAACTTTGTGCAGAAGTAATAGAGGCTGCTATAAAAGTCAGCTCTGGAAAGCACAGAAATCTTGCCCTCACTGCAGTAAAAGTGAAAGAATAAGTTTAGGAATGATGATAAGGCTGTCATGGTGTGGATTTGGTTTTATTTTGTAATCAGTTCTTTGGTTTTAGTGTGACTTCATGTTTTCCCCTGTCTTGTCTGCCCCGCCCTGATGTGTTTCACCTGTGTCTGTGTCTATATGTACCTGTGCTCCTCTCCCCTTGTTGCTGGTCCATTGTATTGTCAACATCTGTCCTGTATCGTCTCGTCAAGTTCTGTCCTGTTCCTTTTGGATTTTTTTTTAGTTTAGTTTTCACCTGGACTTTTATTTTATTACGTCGTTATTTTTGCATTCCTGCTTTTAGAGTCCTCATTTTTACTTCATGACAAAGGCAGCGGCGATTACACAGTTTATTTTTGAGTTCTTCCAGATCAAGCAAAATAAGACGCTTTTTCATATAATTTGTATCAATGTCCTTTAAAAAAAAAAAAAAACGTCATCATATTAGATATTAAAGAAGCAGGCTTAAGATATATGTTCTAGTTTGCAATGTGGGTCAGAACAAATACAGTTCTGATATTACTGAGGTCCTGAGTGTGACCGAGGGAAGGAAACACTTATTAAACAAATAAATTCATTAAAAAGGTCAGCAACACCATGTAAAAGGACCTAGGACCTACTTTAAAAACGCAGGTAAAAAACCACAGGAGTGAGCAGTGCAAATAAAACCAGGTGATACGATGAAAAAAATAGATTACATACAAAAAAAATGTTAAATAAACAGGCAATCGCCAAAAAACCAGTCAGTAAAAAAGGTAAAAAGAAACTGCGGTGGGCAGTCCCATATGTCCTGCGTCCTGGCCCCAACGCGCTCCACTCCGGGCCCCAAGACCGCTGTGCCCCTTGGCCGCTCCTGAGGGGATACAATGAACAGGACCGCCTGTGGGGGAATGTTGGCCCCCGGGAACCCCCGCCCCTTCCTGGTGCCACTCACCGGGTCTGAGCCTGCTCCCGCTGCTGTGGCTTCTGCATGTGAGAAAACTCTTGATGTTATTGCATTTTTTGACGCAGCAGTAAGTATATATTTTATTTTTATTTTGAGCCAATAAGTGGGCATAGAAATAATTAGTGAACATTAATAAGCAATTTAGGTACATTTTCAATATATAACAAATAATAATAATTATGACAAAAATACATAACGGTTGAGTCTGCGCTGCTCCAGGATCAGTTGTTCCGTATCTTATGGATTCAACTTTTTTTTTGTCACATTAAAAGTAGCACAGTGGCCCTTTAAAATTAAGTGCATTTTAGTTAAATAATTAAGACAGTAGCAAATAAAAAGAGCTTTCTTTTGATGGGTGGGACTTGTAGGAACGCTTTTCAATTTCACAGTAAAAGCATGCGTAAAGATGCTGTTAATACTGCTGCGCATATTTTATATGCATTTACACTACTAAAAATTTTATTTTGAAAAAATGTAAAAGGAAATCACACAGATTTGTAACTTATAAGTACCAAAACTAAAAAATATGCTTTTTATGATGGTGAAATGTTAGTTGTTGAGTAAGGCGGAACTATGTTATGCTTCACCCGGACATGTTTTGTGGTTACACACATGTTAGTGTAAA